CTACCTGTTTCCTTAATTTTGTGTGAGCACTCCTCTTACAACCTTTGTCCTGTTCCAGTCTAGGGGGAGATGGGGAGGAGGTGGAGGCGAGAGATCAGATGAGGGAAGAAAAATCTCAGCCCAGGGCAGGCCTTCAGAATGGGCGGTCTGGAACTCTCTGGTATGAGCTGAAACTACAATTCAAAGGCAGAATTTCTCCTTCTTCCCAGAAGCCTCAGTTCTGCTCTTAAGGCCTTTCAACTGAATCAGTCAGGCGTGCCCAGATTATGTAGCATAATCTCCTTTACTTAAAGTCAACCAATTATGGATGTTAATTACACCTACAAAATATACATTCATAGCAACACCTAGATTAGTGCTTGATTGAATAATTGGGGATTATATCCTAGCCTTGTTGACAAGTGAACTTAGCCATCACAGCCGAGGAAAGGTAGGGCAGTTGTTTAAGTCCACAAAAGCAGTAACAGCAGAAATCAGCATTTTTCTGTAGCTAACCCTTGTCCCACGGGAATGCCAGATCCCCATATAAGGGATTCTCCAAGGGTTGTTTCCCAGGTGCATACTCTGTCCATCCACTGGATTTAGCACTCCCCGGTTCTCTGTCCTATTCCCTCTTTCTTTTTGTCAGTGGTTCTCCCCAGGGTTTGAATGAAAATCATCTATGGTGCCTTTGAAGATAACGATGCATATCCTTGCAGAGATTCTGGCATGGTCCTTTTGTGGGGAGGGCATACCAGAATTTCTTTGTTAGAGAAAGGTGAGGAGGTTCATGTGGTATTTGAAAAACTCTGGGGAAGCTGTGTTGTACATCTCATCCCTCCAAATATACATCTCCAGGCTAGACCTTATCCTTAAACTTCAGATCCATGTAAATAACATCTGGACACATCCATGCAGCTCTCCATAAGAACCCCAGGCTCAACATGTCCAGAGCTGAATTGTTGGCTTTTCCCCAAATCTGTTCCTCTTCCCAATGCCCCTGATGAATGGAACCATCAATCTGCTATCACTTAAGCATTAAGGTTGGGGTCATCCTGGGCTCCTCCAGCTTCCTCACCTTCCATAGCCCATCAGTTGTTAACTTTGTAGATTCTGGCTCTGAAACTTATCTAGAACCTGGCCTCCAGCCCATCCTCCCTGATTCTGTCTTACTTAAGTTTCTCATTATCTCCCTCCTGGGCTATTGAAATAGCATCCCAACTGGGCTATTATACCTCCTCTAGGCTTACTTGTACTCCATCTCCCCACAATCCATGTAATTATCTTTTCTGTATAAAATATTTCAATAGCCCCCCATTCTCACAAGATGATGGCTCAGCCCAAATAACAATGTCATTTTTTTATGAACTAAATTTCTAACTATATTCATGAGTTTGCTTCTACAGTTTGTAGTAGATTTTCTTGATCTCTTTTCTTATTTCTGGGTGAATACCACACAGTTTTGGTTACTATAGCTTTGCTGTATGTTTTGGTATCTTATAAGGAGTCTACTGTTTTTTAGCAGTCTGTCTTCTTCTGCTAGTTATTTGGCAGATGGGACGGAGTCATATTTATCTTTGAATTTTAAAAACCTTTTACATGGTTTGCATCCATGTGTGTTGGGTGATGCAGATGAGTAAACCCAGAAGGTATTGGCACTTTTGATGCTACACTTTATATTCTCAAGGTCTCAAAGATCATGGTGAAAATAACACATTTTCTAGTCTTTATTCCACTTCCTATTGTAGTTCAGTACTTCAGTGAGTTATTTCATAGGACTCTTATTATTATTTAATTTGTTTTTGAATAAATAATTCATCTATAGCATACAAAACCCCAAAGGTACAGAAGTGATCAATTAAGTCTCGCCTCAGTTCTTAAGAGGCAATTATACTACCAATTTCTTCTTTAATTTTCCAGAATGGCAGCATACCATGCACTCTGTTCTGCACCTTGCTATTTTTATTTAGCCATATATCCTGGAGATCATTCTACATCAGTACACGTGATGCTGTGTCATGAGATGGCTATGCTGTGTTTTATTTAACCGGGAAGGCAATTAAAGTTGTTTCAGTAAATATTCTTTATAACATTCTCAAATATCCAGAGAAAAGTTCTGCACATGCAATTGGTGGGTCAAAGGGTATTTGAATTTTCAGCTTTGATTTATATCATTAAATTGCTCTCCAAGAAGTTTCTAGAAACTTCATGAATGAAGACCTTAATGGCACTTGTCACCAGGCTTTCAACTTGCTCAGACATGTACTGAGTACCAGGGGACACTACAGAGGGTCTAGCTGGGCGCCTGACAGTGAGTGGAATTCTGTGTGTGTGTGTGTGTGTGTGTGTGTGTGTGTGTGATGTACACATGGTAAGAAGCTCAAGGAAAAACCATCAGTCAATTAATTAGGGTCCTCTTTAAAGCTCTAATAATGGGTGCAAGCATTAGTGGCTTGAATAAAGCTTTGCCTTTATTATTCATTAGAAACTGGCAGTAAATAATAGGTTTGAATTTCACAGTCCTCATGCTGCTAATCAAAGCATAAGATCTTAAGATCATAAATTATTATCCCTCTCAACAGGAGCATAAAGGGAATTTTGTTTTATGAATTGCTTACTGGGACCCTAGCTAGCCTCTCTCTGGGTCTTGGGCTGATTCAGAGGGAAGGAGGCTGGTAATGGCATCTTGAAACTGGAACACGGTCTTACAGATCAGACAGGGCACAGTTTCCTCAGACTCACAATATTATACCTACCTGGAGTCAGGGGGATAAGTGGCCTGACCCAGATTGAACAGCTCCTCATTCCCCTTCTTGGTAATGGTTCATGATGTTCAGCTGGAAAGAGATTTTTTTCTAGGCAGGAAGGGGGCTTTCCTGTGGGCAGGAGGTTGTTGCTGCTATGTCCTCTTAGTGAGTTGCTGCTGGCTTTAGATTGTGTACCTTCCCCTCCCCATCCTCCTCATTTCCAGCTCGTAGGTCATATTTCTCTCCCTTCTCTCCACTCCTGTCCTCACTGACATTTGTCTGTTTTGAGAGGCTCTTCTCTTTCCCTGGTGTCTTTCTACACACACACATAGACACACACACACATAGACACACACACACAGACACACACACACACACAACACCAAGTTCTCATTGCTTCCTTTCACATGATAAGGGCAGAAATAAGATGAATCATTATCTTCTGACTTTCCTTTTTCTTCTCCTCTAGTATCCCCTCCCTCTGTTTTTGAAGCTCTTCATGATTTCTGGTCACCTGCAGTGTGGGAGGAGGGGGCTGTCCCACTCTGCCTGACTTAGTTCCCCCCCGTCTCTGGCCGCCATGTCCTCCAAGCCCAATGGCACTCTCTTTTGTTCCTTCAGTGGCTTGGTGTGCAAGCCCCCATGGCTCTTCCTGGGCCTTAGGACTCTTGCAGCTCCCTTATGTTATCTTTCACTGCCCGCTTCATCTGGCATTTCTAGTAGAAAGGCTTCAAACTGCCAATTGGCATGGGCAGAGAAGATGTCTTTAAATAAAGCATTGGCCAACACAATCATACTTTATAACAAAAGTTTATTAGGATTAAGTCACATTAGAAAACTTCATGCTTTGCCCTTTGCCATATTTACCTGGAATGACCAGATTATACTTAGCTGAGTATAAAACAATTTGTGCCCTGTACTGTTTAGAAAGTAAGAAAATTGATGTACAAAGCAGTGTGCCTGACACCACCGTGGTTAATAGCCTAACAACTGGTTAGCAAAGCATATGTTACTTCTGAGCTTTGCGCCTGAGGAATACATCATTTCCTACCTCCTCCAGAAGCAGACCCATCATAGCCTGGGCACTGAAGATTGGAGCCTACTTTTTTTGGACTTTAATATTAACATCTAATATTTCAAGAAAAGCTAGGTTTGAGGTATCTTTATGGCTTCAAAGGCACAGGTCATGCAGCTGAATTAAAAGCTATTGTGTTGGTCTCCTTGTCATGGGCCATGAGCCACCTCTCACAAGGGGAGTCCTGATGCTGTGTCCTTGCCTCCTCAGTGTGGTCTACGCATCATCAGCTCTGCTCCTCTAGCTTCTGCTTTTGCTCATCAGCTGTGAGTGTTGGAATCGGAGGACAGGTTGGGATTCCTGCACTGGCTCCTGCCATGTAGAGACAACCTGTACTGTGAATCTCATTACCCAGCATACAGAGGGGACCTGCCAAAGGGCCAAGAAGTGACTCAAATGCAAGCAGGGATAGGAATGCTCATTCTTTAGATAAAATATAGTATGGGGAGAAGAAAACAGCTTTCCCTGGGAGGGGTCCTACCAAGTTGCAGAGTAGAACTGCATTGAGTGCAGTGTATGCCCAGCTATAACCAACCAACCCCTTCCTTCAATAGGAGAAGTGGCTTGAAAAGAATGCCACGGAGAACAGTGGGTCACCACCCAGCATGGGTTCTGTGAGGCCATCGACAGTCGTATCGATCCCTTGTGTGGGCTTTGCAAATAGCTCTGAAGTCATTAAGAGCAAGTGAGAGTCTAGGTCTTTATAATATACAAATTTCACTTACTAAATAACTGGGCATTCCCTTCAGCTTAGGAGCCCACATGTTTATGCTCAGAAACTTTTTCCCCCTGATTTTTAAACTCTCCCTAATGAAGGGAATAAAATCCGAAATCGAAATGAAGGGCCTGGAGAGCTACCTACCGAAAAGAAACACCTGCAGACCCAGCACCTCTGTTCCATCCATGTAGCAGCTAGACTCCTGACTCCCTCCCATCTCAACCCTCCCTACCCTAACCCCCCAATTCACTAATAAAAATGGCTGCTGTCAGAAACTTAGATTCAGTTGCATAATATAGAGGGATGATAATAAATTCTCACTTTTTCAGGCACCAGAGGATACTTGTGACAAGGTTTTGATTCTCTCCAATGTACGCTCTTACTGCATCATCCAGCCCCTCCTCAGCACTGCCTCCCCAGCTTGGCTTGTATTCCTCCAGGAGCCCCACATGACTTGGGATTACATCTGCACCGTTCACCATTAGTTCAGCTGGGACTGACCCGGCGTCTGCTCAAGCTTGAGTTCGTAGCCTCCTAGGCCGAGGTCCCCCTCGTAAATGTTGTCCTTGCTTGGAGTCTGTGGGGAAGCTTTCTGGTCCAGGCTTGCAGGAGGGCTGCAGGGCGAGGTGGCTTGCTCCTGGTAACTCATGGCCAGTTCGTCCTGATTCACAATGCATTCCACATCTTCCTCTTTGAGCTGTTCCTGCAATTTGGGAAGAGAGAGAAGTGACTTTGTGAAGAAGAGCACAAGAGCTGTCCAATAGTGTTAAGAATGGAGGGTGCTTTTTTTCCTTTCTTAATGGCCCTGTCTTGCTCTGGCTGAGGTTCCTCGGCCTCAGGCACTGCCTTTCCATGGCCAGGGGCGTGATGGAGCATTTCCCATGGAAGATCTGGCCCCTGGACAGAGTCACATGAGGCCTCCAGGCCTGGCATGAGAGCTGGTAGAGAGCACGTGCTCACTGAGTGCCTGGGTTAAGGAAGTCAAAATAAAATTCAGTGGATTTCTTGAACTGGTACCTAACCAGGTTGAGAGGAGTTAGGAGTTAGAGGAGGCATGTCAGTGTGTGGAATGATTCTTAACATTGGTTTTGTAACACTCGTGCCCATAACTAAATTCTCAAAATGCAGTGTCTGTTGTATTTTATTTGAAAAGTGTGTCCTCACAGCATGTTTCTTGGGATGAGTGTCACAAAGCTAAACATGGTTGCGGGGCGCCTGGGTGGCTCAGTCTTAACCGACTGAGCATCTGCCTTCGGCTCAGGTCATGATCCAGGGTCCTGGGATCGAGCCCTGCATCAGGCTCCCTGTTCTGTGGGGAGCCTGCTTCTCCCTCTCCCCCTGCTTCTGCTCTCTCTCTCTGTCAAATAAGTAAGTAAATTCTTAAAAAACAAAACAAAACAAAACGCAAAGCTAAACATGGTTGGAAGTCATGATAGTAGATAATGGCAGAAACTAACTAGATCTGGTCAACATAGGTTTCCTCAGACGGAGTTTTCCCTGAAGGAAAGAATTAAGATCTCCACTCTTTCATTGGCTTTGGGAAGACTGTACAAAATTACTCACAGAAGGAGCCCTGGCTAGGTGACTGAGGTCAGTGGTTTCCAACATTCGGATGTACTAGAATCACTTGGAAGGTTCACTGAAGAAGATGCTGGGCCCCAAGCTCAGAGTTCTGAGGTGAGGCTGGGGGGTGGGGGGCTGAAAATTTGCATTTCTAGCAAGTTCCCAAGTGATGCTGAGGCTGCTGGTCCAGGGACACACTTTTGAGAACTGCTGCCTTAGGCTATTGTGCCCAGAGCACATCTGAGATGCCTTTTTCTCTGTTTATGCAAGGGGGTGGCCAGCTGGACAATCTCCAAGGGTGCCACAAACTCCAAGATTTTGCTCCTCTCCAATTCCTGACACTGGTTTGTTGGTAATGATTCCAATTGCTTCTCAGCATTTTTTGTTCCACTCCCTTGAGCTATAAAGCACAGGCCTAATATTTAAAAACCTCAAAACACAGCAGTTTGTGAGGACATATTACTTCTTTTACATTTTCTAAATTCATTTTATGGTTAAAAATATTGGTCACAATAAAGAAAATTGCATTTTTTAAAAAAAGAAGAATAAGCCCACATCAGCAATATCTGAAAAGAAAAGAGATATGCCTCTTGGTGCAGTGAATTTTAAAATGCTTCCTCCTCAAGCTGGGAAGTAATAGTCCTGAGGTTCTTGGGCTCATCAGTATCCACCAAGCCTGTCCCACATCAGGGTAGTTACTCACCCCGTAGGCCTGAGGACTGGTGAGCAACCTGGAAATTGGACCGCACCATTCAGGTAATGTTGTAGTCAGTGGAGGACCAGCGTGGGTTAAAATTGGTTTCAGATATCTGTAAGGCCTGTTAAGGAATACTTGTCAAAAAGAAGTTAGAATTTAGTTTCCCACCCAGCACAAACCTTTGCATGCGGCAAAAGAGACAGTTATGTTCACCTTTAAATCCCCTACTCCCTCATTTAGGAGGCAATTTGGCTTGCAAAACATGTTGTTTATGATCTTTGCTCCACACTCTTTTCCAGCCCTCCTGGTAGCCTTTAATCAAAAAGAAATGGGGGCTGGGCCAGCCAACATCAGAGAGAGGGGCAAATGTTCCTCTTCTCCTCCCCTCCCTCCCTCCATGTCTCATTGGCTTGAGACTGCATTTTGTAAGAATCATCTTAAACACCACAGAAAGGATTGTGTTTTCTTAAAACTGCACACATAGCTTAAACCACCAGTAATTTTCACAAAGAAGCAAGAGGTATTTCATAAATGCTCAGTCATTTTAGAACTGGGTAGTGAACATTTTGTTTTCCAAAATACTTTATTTCACTCTTCAATACAGTCACTTTATACTTCATACATCAATGCGTCTCCATACAAAATTATGTAAATAAACTGGTGCTAGGTTCATTCTATTCTCTAGCACCTGTCTTTCTTATCTCTTCATCCCAAAGTGCTCTAACAAGTTAAAAGAAAACCGTGTTCCTCTAAAGCCGTTATATTTCCCTCCAATCTAGTAATAGTGAAACCCCTAGAGGCTGCCTCAGGTTGTCTTATTATTTCTTTTTTTTTGCTCAAAGGAAAGTAGTGGAATTATTTCACCATTCCATCAGACACAACTTTTAAGCTTTATATTATTTCCTCTGCTGGAGAATATTTCACCTCATCAACTTTCTGAAAAGCTATAATAAATAGGGAAAGGGAAATAACGGAAAGCAGTTAACATTGGTTGGCTTGTGAAGATCCGAAGTCACCCCCAGGCACCGAGGACACGAGGAGATCTTGGAGATGGCTTGACTAGAACGCACCTAGAGCTGGACACTGCTCCGTCATTCCTGTGATGCCCTGAGCGTGTGAGGACAGAGAACAGGTGCAGCTTCCAGAGGCCAGGCATCTCGTTGCCTCTGGCCTCAAATCCTTCACCACCAAAGTGGTGATAAAGCAGGCAATGCTCCTGAACATAGCCTAGTTATGATGCAAGGAGAGAGACTGAAAAGATACTTAAAAGAGTCTATAATTCCAACTGCAAATGGAAAACTTGATAATTCCTTTCAGACGGGTGGCTGTTGTGCCCAGCAAAGGACCAGGGAAGATAATGAAGTTCAGAGCCTGGCATGCCCTGTAACATCTTTTGAGTATATCTACGACTCTGGAAATCCTGTGACGGTCCTTCCATTAATTTTCATTACATATTGTTATTTCCTTCATTTTATGGATGGAGGAATTGGGGCCTAGAGTTAGAATGATTTTAAATAATCCAAAGGCTCCTGTTGCTATTTGAATCCACCACCAACATTGCTAGCGAAAGAGAAATTATCAGGGCAGAATCACGGATGCGACCAGCTGGTTCTCTAGAGAGAAACGCTCACAGACCTCATCTCTGCAGACCCTCTTACACAGGGGCATGTGAGGACACGCGGTCTTATTAGGGTTTATGGTGTGTGTAAGTCAGCGAAAAAATACTCTTTTGGGGAGGTGAGGTGGGTAACATACATGTACAACTGGAGTGTAAATCAAGGAAAATCCAGCCAATCTCATTTCAAGATGGAAAAGTGGAGGTAGGTAAGCTATGTTTCTAGAGACATCATATAAAAAAAAATGAAGAGGATCGTCAAGGTTCTGATTGTTTCAGGGGCAACTTCCACTGTTTGAGGTTCTCGGAATATTGAAAAATTAAAATGAAAAAATGCCACAATAATGTTATAAAGTAAAGCGCAAGTTTAAACATTTAACATTTAAATGAACATTTTTTTTTTAATCCTGATGAGGTATCTCTTTAACTCTATGTGTAATGTTATTGGAGCTAACACTTAATGACAAAGTTTTTAGCTTTTTGTGAATCTGGGGCCTGGACAAAATGGGGTACCATTTGGCCTCTTCTGGACAGGTTCTGGGATTTTTGACTCAGAACGCCTCGGCCTAACTACCAACTCTGCCACTTTACTGACCGTATGACCTATGGTCGAGTTATTTACCCCTGTGAGCCTCAAGTATTGTTGTGAATATTGATGGAAAATAACATTATATAAAAATGGTTTTAAACTCCATGTACTATCCAAGTGCTGTTTATTTTATTTTAAAGATTTATTCTCTAAAGAATACTTCTGAGAAATTGGTGTCTCAATTGTCATTCAGATAATAATGGGGAAATGAGACTGAGGGTAGAGATGAGAAAATGGTGCTCTGGGCATTTGGTGTGGCCTTGGGACTCACAGGCTAGGTTGTAGGTGGGAAATTTAAGGTGCTCCTACCCCAAAAGTAGCTATTTGGGTTAAAATTTGTTGTGCAGGCAGCTGGTATGAGGTAGTGGGTGAGAGGTGGGCAGAATCTGTTGATGTATGACTCTTCTAGGAAACTCACAATGACATTTTGACTGCACTGGTGTCTCAGTAGCTGTGAGTCAAAGGAGTGAGGCATACTCAGTGTGGCAGTGAGTGGGATTTGCCAAGCGCCACAAAGAGCCACGGCAGATGTGGCACAGAATCTATGATGAATTTCTTGGTTTGTCCAGTGCTTGCCATATATCACGTGCTCAGTGGGTGTTTGTTGAATTTCTGATACAGAAAATATGAGTGAGGGAAGTAGATTCTGAGTAATTTGACAAGAGAAGACAAAAGGGGGCAGGTTACACTGTTGGTGGGAATGCAAGCTGGTGCAGCCACTCTGGAAAACAGTCTGGAGGTTTCTCAAAATTTGAAAATAGAGCTACCATACGGCCCAGCAATTGCACTACTGGGTATTTACCCCAAAGATACAAATGTAGTGATCCGAAGGGGTATGTGCACCCTGATGTTTATATCAGCACTGTCCACAATAGCCAAACTATGGAAAGAGCCAAGATGTCTATTGACAGATGAATGGATAAAGAAGATATGGTATATATATACAATGGAATATTATGCAGCCACCAAAAGGAATGAAATCTTGCCATTTGCAATGATGTGGATGGAACTAGAGGGTATTATGCTAAGTGAAATAGGTCAATCAGAGAAAGACATGTGTCATATGATCTCACTGATATGAGGAATTCTTAATCTCAAGAAACAAACTGAGGGTTGCTAGAGTGGTGGGGTGTGGGAGGGATGGGGTAGCTGGGTGATAGACATTGGGGAAGGTATGTGCTATGGTGAGCGCTGTGAATTGTACAAGACTGTTGAATCACAGACCTGTACCTCTGAAACAAATAATACATTACATGTTAAAAAAAAGAAGAAGATAGTAGGAAGGGAAAAATGAAGGGGGTGGATATCGGAGGGGAGACAAACCATGAGAGACTATGGACTCTGAGAAACAGACTGAGGGTTCTAGAGGGGAGGGGGTTGGGGGGATGGGTTAGCCTGGTGATGGGTATTAAAGAGGGCACGTACTGAATGGAGCTCTGGGTGTTATATGCCAACAATGAATCATGGAACACTACATCAAAAACTAATGATGTAATGTATGGTGATTAACATAACATAATAAAATTTTAAAAAGGGGGCAGATTATAACCAACTAATGAGGTTTTTCTGAGGATAAAAGGCTAAGAAAGGTTAAAGTTGAAGATGGACCTCTTGGGTCTGAGTTATTAGGCTGAAGGGACCATGAAAAGAGTGGGAATGGCATGAAATAAAGTAGTTAAAAAATAAACTTGTGTTTTACTCATTCATTTGTTCCTTCATACGCTCACATGTTTTTGTTTTTGTTTTATGTGCCAAACTAGTGAGGCATCCGCACAAGGAAATGGACACTTGCATTTAGAATGGAAAGCTCCCTTGTCTCCAGACTGTGGTCTCCTTGAGGGCGGGGCTGTCCCATTCATCTGGATACAGTGCTTGGCACATTTTAGATGTTCAAGAAATAGTTGCTGAATTAATGAAGACAACAGGCTCAGAGAGAGGAAAAGAATTGCTCAGTGGAACCCAGCCAGAGAGTTAAGGGCAGAGCTGGGCCCGGGATCAAGGACGTTTCCATCACATGAGGCATCTTTCTTCTGCTACAGAGATACTGAGTAACAGGTCTTGTCTGATTGGACAACTGATTTGGAATTGAGGAATCAGTGATTTTCAGAGTTCTTTATTGCTGAGCAATGTCTGGAAAGTGGCTGGATCTCCAGGGTTACCTAAATTATTAAAGAGTAAGAAAACTCTTTTGATCTACAAAGAAACCCCAACTGCTGATTTTGCAAAATGTGTTATTTTTTTTCATCAGGTTCTAGTATATGTTCGGGGAGGCAGAGTCCCCATTGGGTATTTTTGGTGCAGTCAGTTTTGCTTCTCTAATAAGCTAGAAATGTATCGAGATGAAATGTGAAGCTCTGGGGTGGGGGGGAAACAATGACTTTTCCCATCCAAAGGGCATAGGTTTGGGAATAGCAGTTTGGTTCAGGAGATGTAAGTAAAAGCTAGAATTCTACCCAGAGTTTAACATGCATGCAATAAGGAAGACAATTAACAGATGCCATTTTCTCCTTTGGCCTGAGTTATCAGAAGGTCCAGAGCTAAATTTAATGCTTAACTGAACTAACATCCAAAATTCCTGGTAATGTTGATTTCTTCCTCTTTTTTGTTTGTTAGTTTTTGTTTTAATTATTTTAAATCCTCATGTTCTACCGATTGTAATTTGCCAAAACTAATGAGTACACAGCTTGCTCACCCCTATGCTTCCTATGACATAGTCCTACATAGACTGGAGAGATGCAAAAACCTCAACCAAAGAGCCAGCTCCACAAGTGAATGTCTGCCCCTTTGAGGGGACTAAGCCCCATTGCCCCCTACCATGGGCTGAATGTTTGCATTCTTCCCCAATTCGTATGGTGAAGCTTAACTTCCAATGTGATTGTATTTGGAGACGGGGCCTTCGGGAAGTAAT